AGTCCTCGTGATGGCAGTCTCAAACGGGGCAAGATGGATTGAGGAAGGATGGTGAGTTCTCAGGTCTTTAAGTCCCATAAACGGGAGAATTAAGCCGCCATCACCTCGGGCCACCGGATCGCCATAGCCCCGGGTCGGACCGTCGAGCCGTCACCGCGCTGGGCCACCAGGCCGCTGCCGCACCGGACCGGTGAGTTACCGCCGCGTCTGGCCACAGCTCGTCCTGGCTGCAGATCTTCCTGGCCGTGACCAGGCGCAGATCTTCCAGGCCGTGTCAGGGCGCAGATCTTCCAGGCCGTGTCAGGGCGCAGATCTTCCATATTGGCCATTAGGTCCCCAAGCCGGGCTTCACCAGGCCTCACCAGGCCTCTCCATGCCCGGGCGGCCCTCAGCAGCTCCACCCTCCGCCGGCCATCGAGTGCCGCCGCATCAGGTCGCCGCGTCAGGCCGCAGTTCTTTAGATAGAAGATCCCAAAATACTTGTTTTATTCTTGCAGTCAAGTTTGTGTCAACGCTGCTAACATTGGATGTTCTTGCTTTGACAACATACGGAGATGCCGCCTTATTCTTCCTTATGCTTTACTCTTAGAATTAGATGATACTGGGGGAGGGGGAGGAATGTGATGGGAGTTAGTTAGATATAACAATATTGTAATAGCGTGTGAATTCAGGGCTTTTTGAAATAAGAGATGATAAGGAATGGCGGGCTGGAGAACTGGAGGGAAAGCCTGCATTTCAAGCTAATTGGGGAGTGTGATTTATGACTGTTAATTGGAGGAGGGAATTGTGCTTTGATACTATGTACTCAGGGGAGGGGAAGTCAGATTTTGGCTTGGCCTATGTACGTGCTGATGCTATGCTACTCGAATAAAGATTCTTTAAGGTAAACTATGCCTTGAAGTTCTTTGAAGAGTTTCATCTGTCGGAACCACGACAGTTTGGTTGGTGAGCACAGAGTGTTGACTCCTTCCTTGCTGTCTCTTCTGCCCCCAGGTGCCCTCCACTTGCGGTCTGCTTGGCCCAGCAGCGCCTCAAAGGGAGCACAGCCACCCAGGCCAGCACTGTGGAGTTCGACGTCATTGCCCTGGCCGACTCCATGGGCTGGGAGGTCCTACCGGTCAAACGGGCTCTACGACAGCTGCAGTGGAACACCCAATGGCAGAAGGGTGAGCCAGTGGGGACCCTGCTCAACTGGAGTGCAGGGGGCTGTTTGGGGGAGACTTTTATCTGAGCTAGTTCTCGGTCGCGGCTCAGAAAAGAAGCAGGACCCCCGCGTTGTGCTTGCCACTCATCCCCAAGAGGTGTGATGACCCAGGGCACAGCACAGAGGCAATGCAGTCAGCTGGCAATTCAAACCGCCCTTTAATTGCTCCAAATTTTCCCCAAATGCTCCCACGTTTCTGGCAAGCCTCCAAACAAAGGAAGACACACACACCTCTGATTAGGAGAGGAATTTACTCAAGGCCACGGAGATAACAAGGAATGACACATACATCATAAACCTAAGGAGTCTGTGTGAATACATGCTAGCCTGAGCAGTTTCAGAAGGGAAGCTAATCAGCTGCATTTCAGCCAACACCTTTTTCTCTGCCAAGAGAGGGTCAAATTCCGGCTGAGAAGCCCAGCGAAGCAAAAACACCAGAGACATTGGCGATCTCTAGTGTAAACTTTATTGGGCATTAGCAAACCAGTAAGATAGAAGGGAAACTAGCTCTGAAAATACGGCAGGAAACAGACAATTAAAAGAGTAGAACTTCCCCTCCCCTCTCGGTTCAGGCCACATTGTCCAATTAATCTTCCAGCAATTGTTAGGAGAAGAAATTTTGGTTCGCCAAAACATCTCAGCGGCATCGGCTCTCACGCCGATAGGGAGCTCCTGTGGATCCCAAACTCCTCCTTCTCCCCCCTCGCACTAACCGTAGGCAAGCTAGAAGCCCCACGGCGGTCCTAAAGACAGTACATTTTGTAGCTTGACAGAGACAGTGATCCAGAACGCGCTGGGGACCTGGAGGTTCCAACCCATTTTCTCCCCGCTCAGGTGGCCAGGGTTCTAGGAAGAGTGAGATCCTGGTGGAATTCAGGGAACTCTCCTTCCACCTGCGCTCCTACGGGGATCTCAGCGATGATGAGCTGGACGCCGTCTGCGAGTTCCTGTACCGGCGAGTCACGAGTCGCGAAAAGGCAGCCCTCCATCAGCTCCAAGTCTGCTTCCAGGCTTTTCAGAGGTGGGAAGTTTCAAAGAGGGCCCGCTGGGTGGATCCTGACTAAGTACAGGAAGTCCTTGACTCACGACCGTTCCTTTAGTGACCGTTCTAAATTACATGTATGAAAACTGGTTATGTCGCTTTTTCCAGCATCGTTGTAACTTTGAACGGTCCCTAAAATAATTGTGGTACAGGAGTGGCCAAAATTGTGGAAACCTTTTGGGGAAAAGTGTATTTTTGAGGTTTGATGGCTAATAACACCCCTTATTTTCGGGAGCAGTACCATAAAATTATATATCAACGGAAAGATAATTTAATCAAGAATGTAATGCAACATAAGTTTGTTCAATGATCTGTACTGTATTCTATGAAACGTTACAGCCAAATAACCAGAAAAAGGAAGCATAACTTGCTTAGGTTGATCTCAGGTAGCTTTCCTTCATCTGACTGTAGCCAATGAGCATGAGTGTTTAGAGAGCCAATCGGGTGTCCTCTTATTTTGCCCATGAACCAATCAGATCACAGTAGGATCCAGTGATTGATGTCCTGCATTGAAGCTGAGAGGAGGACATTGGTCAGTGTGTTGTGTGATGGCTATCAAGTTGGTTGGGGTTTTTTTTGGTGTTCTTTCATTGAGTGAGCTTGTAAAACGTAATAAAATTAAAGTCATGGTGCAAAGAGTTGACTGGATGTAAAATAGTATTTATTAAGTGAACAAGGGTAGAGTTACAAAGAAATTGGAAGAAAAATGGGTGGAAACTTAACCAAAGGTGGCATTTCTACTGTACACTTTTCCCAAAAGGTTTCCACAATTTTGGCCACTACTGTTAAGTCGAAGGCTACCTGTACTGCTGGACCTCCGCCGTTGTTGTTGTTGTTTGTTGTTGTTTATTATATTTATATCCCGCCCTTCTCCTTGCGGACTCAGGGCGGCTAACAGCCAGATAAAACAACTACAAAAATACAAAATGCTACAGTTAAAAACATAATTAAAAACAATATTAACATTTGGCCAAGCCTTACCTCCCTTGTGTGTCTTGTGTGTTTTTCCACAGCGTGGCTTTCCCTACTTGTGCCTCGTGCTGTGACTGTGCAGACCAGGAGAGGAGCAGCCAGCTGAAGTCCCTGCTGATGGGCTATTTTGAGAGGCAGCCGGTGCTGGGGGAGCCCTCCCTGGGTGCAGAGCCTGAAGCGGATCACCTCCAGGATGTTCAGGTGAGGAAATCCAGCTTTTCGTCTGGATCGGGCTCCAGAGCCACGAGCGCTGACGAGATCCTGTCCTAGTTTCGCCTTCTGCAGATTGGTGGGGCTGCCGGGGATCTTGGGGGGGGGGGATGTGTCCCGATGCATATGGAGGGCAGCAGAGCGCAGGGGTTGATCCAAGGGGAAAATTGTGTTATCTATTTGCAGCAGGGATGTCCAGTCTTGGAAACTTTACAACTTGTGGGTTTCAACTCCCAGAATTCCTCTAGCCAGCGTGGTTGACTGGGGGAATTCTGGGTGTTGAAATCCACAGTCTTGGACAGAGCTTTGAAGTCTTACAGTTTTCAAGGTTGGACACCCTTGATTTAAAGGGCAACTTTCTACGCCCCAAGTGGGATCATTTGTGGACATTCAATTGCATTTAATAATAATAATAATAATAATAATAATAATAATAATAATAATAATAATAATAATTAATAATAATTAATAATAATTAATAATAAATAATAATAATAATAATAATAATAAAGTTGGAAGGGACCTTGGAGGTCATGTAGTCCAACCCCCTGCTCAGGCAGGAAACCCTGTACCATTCCGGACAAATGGCTGTCCAGTCTCTTCTTAAAAACTTCCAGTGTTGGAGCATTTACCACTTCAGGAGGCAGGTTGTTCCACTGGTTAATTGTTCTAACTGTCAGGAAGTTTCTCCTTAGTTCCAGGTTGCTTCTCTCCTTGATTAGTTTCCATCCGTTGCTTCTTGTCCGGCCTTCAGGCGCTTTGGAGAATAGCTTGACTCCCTCTTCTTTGGGGCAGCCCCTGAGATATTGGAAGACTGCGATCATGTCCCTCCTCATCCTTCTCTTCGTTAAACTAGACCAGGGGTAGGCAACCTTGGCTCTTTTATGACTCGTGGACTTCAACTCCCAGAATTCCTGAGCTAGCATGTCCACGAGTCATAAAAGAGCCAAGGTTGCCTACCCCTGAACTAGACATCCCCAATTCCAGCAACCGTTCCTTGTATGTTTTAGCCTCCAGTCCCCTGATCATCTTTGTTGCTCTTCTCTGCAGTCTTGTACATATCCTGAAAAGCTTCCACAACTTCACTGTCTTAATCTGGCTTATTAACCTTCTGCGTGTCGTCAGGCATCGCCAATATGGCATTCTCTTTTATATATCTGGACTCTTATTATATATGTTATATCTTATGATATGTTACATATTTGGATTCTCTTGTTAGGCGGTACATTTTGACAGGCACATTTTTTTCCTTTTCTTGCCGTCTTCTTAATTTCAATACCTTAATCGATTTTATCCTTGAGATTTCTGGTTAAAACAATTAGGGAGCAGTTGACCAACTAGGTCAGGGGTAGGCAACCTTGGCTCTTTTATGACTGGTGGACTTCAACTCCCAGAATTCCTGAGCCAGCCATGCTGAGGGGAAGGGAGAGGTTTCCATGCTGACTCAGGAATTCTGGGAGTTGAAGTCCACGAGTCATAAAAGAGCCAAGGTTGCCTACCCCTGAATGACGGCTTTTTCTATCTAACATCCTGCAGAGCTGTTATTAGCAGAAGGCAGTCTCTCTGCCCCTTGTTAAATAGCACACAAGGAATTGTCATGGACGGGGGCCAGAGCCATAGTAACCCACTATCAGCATCATATAGAAAAAGATATTCTTTTTGTGAAGATCAAGCTTGCTTGCTGTTCTCTACTATTGACTGAAACTAGGGGATAATTTCCCACAGCTTAAGGGGAAGCCACTGCGAATCACAAGTGAGCTATCTGGGGCTAACATGCTACAAAAACTGCAGGCTAACTTGATGCAAAGCCGTGTCCTCAGTTGAAATTAATATTCATGCATCTCTGTAAAATTATCCAGTAAGTGGCATTGATATTATGCTGGGGGCAAAAAGCCATCCTAGTTTGATTGGAGCAGCTTAAAGTCAAACTTGGGAGGAGACGTTCATTCCTGGCTGCCTATTTTTAAAAATTGAACAGCATTTGCACTAAAGCAGGGCTCTTCAATCTTGGCCCTTTGATGACTTGGGGACTTCAACTCCCAGAATTCCTCAGCCAGGATGCTTTAAGACAGGGCTCTTCAAACCTGGCCCTTTGATGACTTGGGGACTTCAACTCCCAGAATTCCTCAGCCAGGATGCTTTAAGACAGGGCTCTTCAAACCTGGCCCTTTGATGACTTGGGGACTTCAACTCCCAGAATTCCTCAGCCAGGATGCTTTAAGACAGAGGTCTTCAAACCTGGCCCTTGGATGACTTGGGGACTTCAACTCCCAGAATTCCTCAGCCAGGATGCTTTAAGACAGAGGTCTTCAAACCTGGCCCTTGGATGACTTGGGGACTTCAACTCCCAGAATTCCTCAGCCAGGCACGCGTGCCTGGCTGAGGAATTCTGGGAGTTGAAGTCCCCAAGTCATCCAAGGGCCAAGTTTGAAGAGCCCTGCACTAAAGCAGGGCCCTTGGCTGAAACTGTGCATTGGTAAGGAGGACCACCATTTATTCCCTTAATGCTGATTTCACTCTCTCTGGAATTTTCTTCCCGGTTACAGTTTCAGGAATGGGAGCAGCAAATCCGAGCTGACGTTCGCTACTTCTTCTCCATCCGTCAAGACGAAAAGTTCTCGGGCAGGGCCGTGGCCAGGATTTTCCATGGAATTGGTGAGGCTCCTATTTTAGAATCTGCACTCTGTTGAGTTACATAGAAACGTAGAGATCTCTTTAGGGAATTTTTTTGTTCAGCCATTTTCAAACAAGGTAAGGCCTCCTTTGCATCGCCTCAAGTCCTGGGACCACGCGGTTTTCTTGGCAACAATATGGAAGTGGCTTGTTTGTTTGTTTGTTTTTAAATCCAGGACTAACCAGCTCCAACCTTTGTTGGTTTATGAGCTCAGAGAAGGTTCACCAGGGTGAAGTGGGAAAAGACAAAGGCAATTTGACTGAAGTTTTCCAAGGCTAAGGAAATGTTGGGCTAATAGGTAGCTGATGGGCTGTATTCTTCCATTTTTTTTTTTAAAAAAAAGGACAATTGCAGAGATTCCTGGGAAATGCAGATCCTTATTTCTGCTCAGCAAATTGCTGCAACACAGTGGTAACCTTATTTTTTAGTAGTAGTAGTAGTAGTAGAAGTAGTAGTAGTGATGATGATGATGATGATAATAATAATAATAATAATAATAATAATAATAATAATAATAATAATAATAAAGTTGGCAGGGACCTTGGAGGTCATCTAGTCCAACCCCCTGCTCAGGCAGGAAATCCTACACCATTTCAGACAAATGGCTGTCCAGTCTCTTCTTAAAAACTTCCAGTATTGGAGCCTTCACCACTTCCGGAGGCAGGTGGTTCCACTGGTTAATTGTTCTAACTGTCAGGAAGTTTCTCCTTAGTTCCAGGTTGCTTCTCTCCTTGATGAGTTTCCATCCGTTGCTTCTTGTCCTGCCTTCAGGTGTTTTGGAGAATAGCTTGACTCCCTCTTCTTTGGGGCAGCCCCTGAGATACTGGAAGGCTGCTATCATGTCCCCCCTCGTCCTTCTCTTCATTAAATTAGACATCCCCAATTCCAGCAACCGTTCCTTATATCTTTTAGCCTCCAGTTCCCTGATCATCTTTGTTTCTTTTCTCTGCACCCTTTCCAGAGTCTCAACATCTTTTTTACATCGTGGTGACCAAAACTGGATGCAATATTCTAAGTATTCAGATTGCTATTTGACATTGCTGATGAAATGAAGTTTCCTTCCAATTAAAATTGATCCTAGGATGCTTCAGACTCCTTATAGTTGTTTATTAGAGACACTTATTAACTGTGCCTCACGACATAACCCGGTTCTCGGGGGTAGCATGGAAAATGTAAACATGAGGAACAACATAGGATAACATGCTTATTTATTTGAGGCATTTCTATCCTGCCTTGTCTCTGAAAACCACACATGTATGTATCTCNGTTAATACCACTTTACAAGGCCTTGGTAAGGCCACACTTGGAATACGGCATCCAGTTTTGGTCACCACGATGTAAAAAAGATGCTGAGACTCTAGAAAGAGTGCAGAGAAGAGCAACAAAGATGATTAGGGGACTGGAGGCTAAAACATATAAGGAACGGTTGGAATTGAGTATGTCTAGTTTAATGAAGAGAAGGACGAGGGGGACAGGATAGCAGTGTTCCACTATCTCAGGGGCTGCTCCAAAGAAGAGGGAGTCAAGCTATTCTCCAAAGTGCCTGAAGGCAGGAAAAAGAAGCGACAAATGGAAACCAACCAAGGAAAGAAGCAACCTGGAATTAAGGAGAAATTTCCTGACAGAACAATTAACCAGTGGAACAACCTGCCTCCAGAAGCGGTGAACGCACCAACACTGGAAGTTTTTAAGAAGAGACTGGACAGCCATTTGTCCGAAATGATATAGGGTTTCCTGCCTGAGCAGGGGGTTGGACTAGATGACCTCCAAGGTCCCTTCCAACTTTATCATTATTATTATTATTAATTCAATTTTGAAAGAGATGCTCAAAGAGAAGCTCCTCAGATGGACGAGAGCCGTATTGATGGCAACAGACTTAACTTGTTAAGAAAAGAGAGACGTCGTAATTAAAAACTACAAAATTAGGTAAAACTTAAAAACAGGACATGGATATGTATAAGCAAAAAATATATTGGTAAATGTTTTAACTAAGTGTTGTCATAATTAGAAATTTACTAGCCTAAATATGATACAGCAAACGTTAAGGGAAATAGAGAAGGAATTTTCGATGATGTAACCTGAGATAGGTACTAAAAAATTTGTTATTGAACCACCGATTACCCAGTCACCACGCTGCTTTCCGAATACTTAAATGTAAAACTGGAAAACCAATAAAATGTATTGGAGGAAAAAAAAGAAAGAGAGAAGCGAGCATAAAAAGATAAAGGGAGGCGGTGCTCAGATCTGTTAGCCGAGGGAGCCAACGTTGTCCAAAGACGCTTCCGGCGTCAAGTGGTCAGCATAACTGCACGCCGATGTCATGTGTCTGATTAACGAAACACTTAAAAGGACTTTCAGGCATATTTTCTCCTAAAAGCATTTATTAAGGTTACAGAGACGTCAGTACAACATGGTGGAAATGCTTAGGTCTGCTTCTCTTCCGTTACGCATAACATTCCAAGCATTTCCCACTCCCTTATTGTAGGGTCATGGTTCACATCTTCCAATCAACTTGGAAGATGTGATTCACTTCCAGTTTCTTTCTCCCAGGCTATCCTTATGCTCCTCCCTCTTTCCCAGTTGCTGGTTTAACTATATAAATACCAGACAGTTCTGCATATTGTCAAAGCAAGAATATACAGTATTTGCAGCGTTGACATCCAGCGCGCGCAGCATCCTTGCGTAAAAGCTCGCCTGCTCTCTTTACTATAGCTTTGCTAATGCAAGCCCCAGCTTCTTTGAGTTTGTCGCAGGGCTGGCTTCACTGAGGTTGGTTTTTTGTCTGCACAGGGAGTCCGTGCTACCCAGCTCAGATTTACGGCCGAGACCGTCGTTTCTGGAGAAAACACCTTCGCTTTGACTTCCATAAGATCATGCGCTTGGCCACGGAGGAGATCATCCGCTGGAAGTGAACTGAGCTGGGCAGAATCTGGAGAGGAGAAGCCCCATCCGTCGCACGGCTGCTTCTTCCCTCCTGGCTAAGGAAAGGAAGTGGCCACACTGCCGGCGTTAAATTCCTGGAAGACCTTCCTTCATTCGCCCCACCGACTTTGTAAAAAGCTTGGACAACTGCCCAGCTTCCAACAAAGTAGGTGGGGCAAATGAAGAAAGGTCACCGTTCTCCCGGCCTAAACAAGGCTTACTCGGGAGTCCTTTTAACAAGAAAAAAGAAAATGGATTCACTCCAAAAGTATGAAACGCGACACATTTTTGGCAAATCTTAAAAGAGCCTTCCTTCACCTCGTGGCTTTTGCTCTGCGAATTCTGGCAATGATGGGGTTGGACTGAGGATTTAAGGAGTGGGTAAGGCATTGATTTGTGGTCTTTAATATTTTTTTGAAGAACAGATATTTCCTCTTTCTGAGGAGAGTTGGAATTCCCGATTTTGCCTTCTGACATTTGAACTGGACAACAAAGACACACATTATTTGCACCAGGCAATATTAAGTAAGCACCTCTAAGGAAGAAAAGAGGAATGATTTTGTACTGCACTGCAGAGTTTTCCCTGGCGGAACTTGATCTGAATAAAACACATTTTTTTTACTTAACCTATCGCGTTTGCTTTTTTCTGTTCTTTACTATATAAATAGCATAAAGTTTTAAAATAAGCGTAACCTTTTCTCATTTGAGTGGGACATTAAAGTTTTGTATAAACACAGTGTATAGTCAAGGCCATGGTTTTCCCAGCTGCAATGTATGGCTGTGGAAGTTGGACCGTAAGAAAGGCTGAGAGCCAAAGAATGGAGGCCTTTGAACTCTGGTGCTGGAGAAGACTCCTGTGAGTCCCCTGGACTGCAAGGCGATCAAACCGGTCAGTCCTGGAGGAGATCAACCCCGACTGCTCTTGAGAAGGCCAGATCCTGAGGTTGAAACTCAAGTACTTTGGCCACCTAATGAGAAGGAAGGACTCCCTGGAGAAGAGCCTGATGCTGGGAAAGATGGAGGGCAAGAGAAGAAGGGGACGACAGAGAAGGAGGTGGCTGGATGGAGTCCCTGAAGCAGGAGGCCTGAGCTTCAATGGACTCCAGAAGATGGTAGAGGACAGGAAGGCCTGGAGGAACGTGGTCCATGGGGTCGCGATGGGTCAGACACGACTTTGCAACTAACAACAACTATATAAATAGCATAAAGTTTTAAAATAAGTTTAATCTTTCTCATTTGAGTGGGACATTAAAGTTTTGTATAAACACCGGGGAGGGAGAGGGAGGGTAAAGAGAGTCCTTCCTTGATCTGTCCTCTGAATCACAGAATCTGATAGCTGAAAGGGACTTTTGAGGTCATAGAGCCCAACCCTTCTCCCTCTGCTCAATGCAGGAATTAAAAGCATTCCTACGACAACTTCCTGCATCCCACAGTGAAGCCAAACCGGTTCCAGTGAAGTCATTTGGTTCCTAAAATTGACTCCTATAATAAACACGATCACCCCAGTGAGGATGTTAAGAGCTACCTGTTCTTCACCCAGCCCAGAGTGGACTTCCTGCATAGCTCGCCCATCAACAAGCCAGGCAGGTTTGAAAACCCAATGGAAAACCAATCTGAAATTCTAGGGAAAGCGGCCCGTGTCCTGTCTTTCATGCAAGTTTATTTAGAATAGAGCTGGAAGGGACTTTGGAGGTCTTCTAGTCCAGCCCCCTGCTCAAGCAGGAGAACCTATAGTACCGTCTCAGACAAGTGACTGAGTTGTTAGTTGACAAGTCATTCTCCCTCCTTCCAAATTTCTAACTGGCCTGTGAAGAAAATGACGTACTTTGAGCCAACCTAAAACATTTGGGATAAGTAAGGATGTTTCCCCTTCAGAACAGGATAAACAGCTGAGCTGGGTGGTTTTCTGGCAGACGTTCCATGACCCAACTAGGTAACATCATCACTGCTAGAAGGGAGTGGGGTTTGTGAGGAAGAGGAGGAGGAGGAAGAAGGAGGAGGAGAAGAGGAGGAGGAGGAGAAGGAGAAGAAGAAGAAGAAGAAGAAGAGGACTGTGGTGTCCTTGGTGCTCTCTGAGCTGGGTGGATTTCTGGCAGACGTTCCATGACCCAACTAGGTAACATCGTCAGTGTAAAAGGCAGGGGGGGTTGCCCTCAGTTTATAGTCGGAATCCAGAAGCCTTCTTTCCTTCCCTGCCCTCGGGGCACCCCAGAGGGATGGTGACGGAGCTGCGTCCCAGGTGCGGCTGCGGAGCCTGGCAAGCGCCGCTCCTTACTCGGAAAGGAGGTTCCCGGCTTCCCCGTTTGCGCTGAGCCGGAACCTTCGTTCCCGGAATTATTTCCCCACCGGAGTAAGGAACCAAGAGGCTTCTCAGCATGTTTACACTGCCCGAGAGAGGCGAGGTTCCGCCTTCCGGCTCTCTCCCCGCCTCTTCCGGCTCTCCTCGCAGACAAACGGCCATTGATCACAGAGAGGCGAAACCTAGAGCGCCCCTCTAGGATCAGAAGGGGACGCTTCCGCTCCACCGGAGCGCCGTCCCGCCTTCTTCCTCCTGGCTCCCGGCGGCGAAGTCAGTTTGACAGAATCGACATGGGCGACAATCTAGGTCTCTAGAGGTCCAGGCGTCCTGCCAAGCCTATTCTTTTCCGTTCCGGCCTGCCCTCCCCAGCAATTCCTCCCTACGTCACTTCCGCGTCTTTTATGACCAAAGAGGCCGATTTCCTCTGCCGAGCGCCCCGGACTGCCCTCCCTCAGCGATTCCTGACGTCACTTCCGCTTCCTTTATGATCAAAGAGGCCGATTTTCTCTGCCGAGCGCCCCGGCCTGCCCGCCCTAGCGATTCTTACGTCACTTCCGCTTCCTTTATGATCAAAGAGGCCGATTTCCTCTGCCGAGCGCCCCCTGCCGGTTCCAGGGCGGAAGGGGTCCTTGAACGGAGTTGCCGTGGCAACGCCGGGGGCGGCGGGGAAGGCCTCGCCGGCTGGATGGGGTCACCGGGTTGGGGAAGCTGGCTTGGCCGGCCCTGAGCAAGAGCCCCCGAGGGCCTTTCTGTCCCCTGGAGACGTCCTGTGAGCGGCCGTCTCCTCCAGTGGTAAGGAGTTCCGCAGGCTCTCAGTGACCCCGGCTTCGTGGGAGGGTGCGGGGAGGCCGCACCGGCGACTCCCCCCCTCCTCCCCGGTGGCTCATTAGAAACCAGGCAAAACTGTTTAAAATTTATTTTTTTTCCAACTGGGCAACTTGAGGAGGAGTGGGCTTCAACTCCCAGAATTCCCCAGCCCCGAGGAATTCTGGGAGTTGAAGTTCACCCCACTTCAAAGTTGCCCAGTTTGAACAATCCGGTCTTAAATGCGACTTACGACCACAATTATTATTACTATTATTATTATTATTATTATTATTATTATTATTATTATTATTATTATTATTATTATTATTATTATTATTGATATAATAATAATAATAATAATAATGATGATGATAATGATGATGATGTTGGAAGGGACCTTGGAGGTCATCTAGTCCAACCCCCTGCTCAGGCAGGGGCCAATGTTTCTGGTTGCTAAGCTAGACCTAGGCTAATTCATGATTGGCCCATTTTACGACTTTGCTTGCTGACATTAAGTGAATCACAGTTGTTAAGCTAACGACACGTCAGAAGGTTCACGTGACCCCTGGGACAGTCATGAGTATGAGTCACTTGCCAAGCATTGGAATCTTGGTCACGTGACCACAGGGGTGCTGCAGCGGTCGTAAGGGTGAAAAACAGTCCTACGTCATTTGTGTTGTCGTAACTTGGAACATTAACTTGGCCGTTGTAACTTGGTCATTAAACGCACTGTTGCAAGTCGAGGATTGTCTGTGGCTTTGCACCTTTGCAGAGGAGCAGAACTTTCATTTATATTATATTCATTTTTTTAAAAAAATTGTATCCCTCCCTTATTATTCGGTAACTCTTTGACGCCTAGTTGCTGATAATGGCATTAGACAAAAACAAAATGCTTTGGAAATTCCTGGCTAACACAAAGAGGTCCCGAAGTCTTTTTTCCAGAATTATCCAGAATTATCTGGAAAACAGCCTGCTATCCTCTATAGCGGACATCTCAACTCGCGACGTCACATGACGTTGCGCGACGTATCGGAGCTTTTTCCCCATTGCCTGCAATGGGGTGGACGTGGTTTCTCTGTGACGCATCCGGCCGGTGGGCCGGCAGTTTGACACCCCTGCTCTATAGGCAGTCCTCGACTTACAACAGTTCATTTAGTGACCGTTCAGCATTACAACGGCACTGAAAAAAGTGACTTGGGACCGTTTTTCACACAGGACCGTTGCAGCATCCCCGTGGTCACGTGATCAAAACCCAGCCGCTTGGCCCCTGACTCAGACTTATGACGGTTTGCAGCCTCCCGGGGTCACGTGATCCCCTTTTGCAACTTTCTGACGAGCAAAGTCAATGGGGAAGCCGGATTCACCAAAGGAGTAAAGACAACTGTCTCAGTACCCGAAATTCCGGACTCCATTGTGATCGTTAAGTCGAGGACTACCTGTGAATAGGCTCCGATTGCCTCTTTCAGCTTGCCCGTCTGTCTTTGCAGGGTGGACCAGGACCCAAGAATGACTTTCAAATATTGGCTGCTGTTCCTGCTGTATTTCGTGCAAGGAATCCCCTACGGGCTCCAGTCGGGACTCTTGCCGGTCTATTTCCGGACAGTGGGCCTCTCCTTCACCAAGATCAGCCTGACGAAGCTGCTTTACTTGCCATGGATCCTCAAAGTGCTCTGGGCCCCCTTTGTGGACTGGTATCTCTCCAAGAAGACCTGGCTGATGTTGACCATGTGCGGCTTGGCCATGACCTGCCTGGCCTGTTCCTTCCTGACTCCGGAAGTGGACTTCCTTGGAGTGGCGGTCACTCTGCTGCTCATGAACCTCTTCGCTTCCATCCAGGACGTGGCCACCGATGGGGTGGCCATCCAGCTGTTAGGAGCAGAGGAGGTGGGCTTTGGGAATAGCATCCAGGTGGTGGCCTACAAACTGGGCTCCCTCATGGCGGGAGGAGGCCTGCTCACCTTCCTCCATCACCTGGGCTGGGGAGCCCTCTTCGTCTACCTGACTCTAATCTACGCCACGGCCGTCGTGTTCACCTCCAAGTTTCATCTGGACTCCTCTCCCCACGACACACCTGCCAAGGACCGGGACTTAACCCTGCTGCGTTTTTTCCACGAGATTCTCCTCGTGCCGGACACGCTGTGGACTGCTGGCTTTGTCCTCATCTATAAGTTGGGTGAGTCTTTCCTCCAGAGCGAGGAACGGCGGAATTAATTCTTGGAGAACCTTGCTAATTGCAGGTATCCCTCGACTTACCGCCACAGTGGAGCCCAACATTTCTGTCGTTCAGTGAGACGTTTATTAAGTGAGTTTTGCCCCATTTGACCACCTGTCTTGCCCCAATTGTTCAGGGAATCCCTGCAGGTGTTAAATGAAGAACACGGTTGACTTTGCTTAAGTCGGAAGGTCGCAAAAGGGGATCGTGTGACCCCCGGGACACTGCGACCGTCGTAAATCGGAAGAGTTGCCAAGGGTTTGACTGTCAATCCCATGACCGTGGGGATGCTGAAATGGCCATCAGTGACGACTTTCAGTTTGCCGAGGCAACCGATACGGACGTCTGGAAGGCAAGCTCTGTCTTCCGCGTTCAGTTTCGCTTCGCTGGGGGACCCCGGAAAGGGTTGAAAGTCACCCTGTAGGGGCGACTAGCAAGGAGGGGATCCCCGTTGGATCGTGGGAGGGTGGTAGCCCTCCTGCTTGATCCAGGGCAGCCCTCCAAACCGGCGGACGAAAGACCGGCCATAGCAATATGGGCTCGTCACTAGGCTGCAGACAGCCGAAGTCACACTTATCATCAGGCCATTTTNTCTCTGAAATGGCCATCAGTGTGAAAAAGGGTCCTTTTTTCAGTGCCGTTGTAACTCTGAACGGTCACTAAATGAAGCGGTCGTAAGTCAAGGACTACCTGCAGGTGTTGTTTGTGGAAGGAGGATTTGTATCGCAGGCCAGTTTTGTTTGGGAGCTCATCTTCATCAAATCTTTTTGGTCACAGACCCGCACGTAAAATATAAAAAATTATAATTACTTAGAATATGAGAGAAAATAATTTACATATAAAGTATGTAAAAGGGATTAAAAACCAATCCTGCATGTTTGTGCAGTTCAAGCTTATGCAAGTCTGGCAAGAACAATACTTGCCAATGGCAATTTCACACCAGATGTTGCAATAAGGAATTTCACTTCTGGGTGTGTTTCACTTTGCCCTACTCTTGGGACGTCCTTCAGGCTGAGGAAACACAGTTGTGACCACAACTGAGCCCAAAATTTCTGCTGCTAAACGAGACATTTGTTAAGTGAGTTTTGCCCCATTTTACGACATTTTTACGACAATCACTGGTTATTCAGTTAATAACATGCTTGTTAAGCGAATCCATGCAGTTGTTAAGTTAGTGACACAATTCTTAACTGCATCGGGCTTCCCCATTGACAGCACTCGTCAGAAGGTCGCCAAAGGGGATCCAGGACACAGCGACGGTCATAAATATGAGTCAGTGGCCAAACGTCTGAATTTCGATCACACGACCGGCGGAATGGTGCAAGGGTCGTAAGTGTGAAAAATGGTGATTTTTTCCAGTGCTGCTGTAACTTGGTCTTTAAATGAGCTATTGTAAATTGAGGACTTCCTACGATAGTGTGGGTCATTAATGTTGCTTCTACGAGAAATGGACAGAAATAACTTTAGGAAGCAAAAATGACCTATAAAAGAATTCAGGAACCTAGTGGATTTTGGATAATCCCACTAGAAAAATTTTCAGAGGAAGTGGCTAAACAGGTGGACAAGCAGGAAATCTATGGGCCTGTAAGATTCTGGTTAGCCAGACTTTTGCTATAGACCTGCAGACACATTCAAAGAGGAGCAAAAGAAAGGTGGGAGCGCCCACGATTTCTGGAGGCAGGCTGTTCCACTGGCTAATTGTCCTCACTGTCAGGAAGTTTCTCCTTAATTCCAGGTTGCTTCTCTCTTTGATCAGTTTTCATCCACTGTTTCTCGTCCTCCCCTCTGGTGCTTTGGAGAATAATTTGACCCCCTCCTCTTCTTTGTGGCAGCCCCTCAAATACTGGAATACTACTATCATGTCTCCCCTATTTCTTCCTTTCTTTAGACTAGCCAAACTCAAGTCCTGCAGCCGTTCTTTGTATGTTTTAGCCTCCAGGCCTTGGACCATCTTAGCTGCTCTTCTCTGAATTTTCTCCAAACTCTCAACCTCTTTTTTGTGATAGGGTGACCAAAATTAGCTGCAGTATTCCAGGTGTGGCCTTACTAGGGCTTTATAAAGCGGTACTAACACTTCGTGTGATCTCGATTCTGTGTCTCTGCTTATACAACCCAGGATTGTGTTAGCTTTTTTGGTTGCTGCTGCTGCACACGGCTGGCTCAGGGTCAAGGGATCGTCCACTAGGACTCCAAGGTCCCTCTCACAGTTGCTGTTTTTGAGCCAGGTCTCGCCCAATCTATACTTGCACCTTTGGTTATTCCTGCCTAAATGTAAGACTTTGCTTTTCTCCACATTGAAACTCATTTTGTTGGACAGGGTTAGGGCCCATTGTTCGAGTTTCTCAAGATCTTTTTGGATCCTGAGCTTGTCTTCTGGGGTGTTGGCTACTCCTGCCAGTTTGGTGTCATCTGCAAATTTGATGAGTTCCCCTTCAATTCCCTCGTCTGAGTCATTGATGAAGATATTGAAGAGTCCTGGGCCTAAGACGGAGCCTTGTGGTACCCCACTGCTTACTTCTCTCCATGTGGACGTAGTGTCCTTGATTCATTGAAATGAAATTCTGTTGCCTGCTCTCAAAAGTGTACACCTACATAACACACATATAGACGTGCTATAAACATATGTTTATCTCTAATTTCGTTAAAAATTCGAATCTTGGGTAAAGCCATATAGTAAAATCAAACAAACACGAACGGAATTGCAACCTTGAAAAACATTAAGAGAACAGCCAATGCGCGCCCCCTAGGAATTAAACAATTAGGACTATTGGATGGACCGATGACTAGGTCCAGGAGTCGTGTGCAAAACCAGCCAGTATTATAAGAAAGGGACTTCCATTGACCTACTCTTATGCTCTGATGATGTCGGTAGTGCTGACCGACAAAAACTCAGCATTTTATTAAACGATTTTTAATTTAATTTTATCCTGGTGTTCGTGTTTGTTTGATTTTACTATACATATGTATATACCTACACCCTTGAATATAGATACATATAAATATTAATCACTGTTCGTGTTTGTTTGATTTTACTATACATATGTATATACCTACACCCTTGCATATAGATACATATAAATATTAATCACTGTTCGTGTTTGTTTGATTTTACCATACATATGTATATACCTACACCCTTGCATATAGATACATATAAATATTAATCACTGTTCATGTTTGTTTGATTTTACTATACATATGTATATACCTACACCCTTGCATATAGATACATATAAATATTAATCACTGTCCATTTCGAATATGTGGTGGAAAGAGGAAGCTTGAGAGAAAGAGGAAAGTGCAGCCAGAAGTGAAATTCCTTGTGTGTGTGTGTGTGTGTAAACAGAGATTTTTAACATGTGCCATTGTGTACACAGAAAAAGTACATACATACATATATACTTATATCCATACATACACACACACACATACATAAAGCATACGAGGAACGGCTGCTGGAATTGGGGATGTCTAGTCTAATGAAGAGAAGGACGAGGGGGGACACGATAGCAGCCTTCCAGTATCTCAGGGGCTGCCCCAAAGAAGAGGGAGCCAAGCTATTCTCCAAAGCGCCTGAAGGCAGGACAAGAAGCAACGGATGGAAACTCATCAAGGAGAGAAGCAGCCTGGAACTAAGGAGAAACTTCCTGACAGTGAGAACAATTAACCAGTGGAACAACCTGCCTCCAGAAGTGGTGAAGGCTCCAACACTGGAAGTTTTTAAGAAGAGACTGGACAGCCATTTGTCCGAAATGATATAGGGTTTCCTGCCTGAGCAGGGGGTTGGACTAGATGACCTCCAAGGTCCCTTCCAACTTTATTATTATTGTCGTTGTTGTTGTTGTTGTTGTTATTATTATTATTATTATTATTATTATTATTATTATTATACATATGAACACAGAGGCATATATTAATAACAGTCCATTTTAAATACACCGATTAAATATCCCTGGCTTGGTTCACTCATGAGGCTAACAATCATGGCTGACTGAGTGTCTCTGAAGATTCTCCGTCATCCAGGTCAGGGTTGTCCCAAAGATGCCTTTTTTCAGAAGTCAACTGGATTTTCTTGGAGGTTTTTTTTTCCTTTGAAAACGTTTCGCTTCTCACCCCAGCAGCTCTTGGACGAACTGAAAACTGAAGAAGTGAAGTGAAAGGTTTTCAAAGAAAGGAATCGAAGGAAGTCCAGTTGCCTTTTTGGGAAAGAAGAAGGAGAAGGAGAAGGGGAAGGGGAAGGGGAAGGGGAAGAAGGAGAAGGAGAAGAAGAAGAAGAAGAAGAAGAAGAAGAAGAAGAAGAAGAAGAAGAAGAAGAAGAAGAAGAAGGAGGAGGAGGAGGAGGAGGAGGAGGAGGAGGAGGGGAAGGGGAAGAGGAAGAAGAAGAAGAAGAAGAAGAAGAAGGAAGAAGAAGAAGAAGAAGGAAGAAGAAGAGGAAGAAGAAGAGGAAGAAGGAGAAGGAGAAGGAGAAGGAGAAGAAGAAGAAGAAGAAAGAACCACCTTTGGGATGTAGCCAGGGCTGGAAGGAGAGACGTTTCATTACCGGGCTAGGTAATGTCATCAGCGCTAGAAGGCGCAAACCTCAATCCCTTCTAGGACTGATGATGTTCCCTAGTTGGGTCGTGAAACGTCTGCAAGAAAACAGCCCAGCTCAGAGAGCATGAAGGACCCCACAAACTGCAAGAGTTGTGTTCACACATCCTTCCCAGACTCTCCCTGTCTCCCCCCCCCCAATCCTTTCCCACGTGCATCGCCCGGAACTAAACCTGAGTTCTCTCCGCAGGTGAACAGGGGTCGGTTTCCATGTTCCCCCTCTTCCTTCTAGATCACAGCTTCTCTCCCCAGAAGCTCGGCTTCTGGAACGGGATCGTGGCCACCGCTTTTTCCATTACAGGCTCTTCCCTGGGGGGCCACCTGGTGTCAGACAGCAGGTAAGTGATGGAA